TGCCAGCTTTAGGTTCTTGTGAGTGAAGGCATAGGTGCAGAACAGGAAAAGGGTGAAGAGAGCTGTATTTAAGTATGTGCATTTATAGAATGACGAGATCCTTGAAAAGGTAATGTCCAACTTTTGAATACCTTAGTAAAGTGAAGCATAAAGATCACAGATACTTACTAATTATACACTTCTATAACCAACACAAACGTAATTACCTGTTGATTAGCTAAAGTATAGAGTGAAAGATACTCCAAATTAGAATTAAAATGGCATTGCAGTTGTTTGAATCAAACAGATAATGGCACAGACACAGCTGTGAGAAAAAAAACAGCTGTTTCCTGCCATGCAGAATTAGAGATTCATCAATCCTGGTGATTCCTGTTGGAGGAAGCATATTTAGAAAGAACCTACAAATATTTCTTATTCATTGAGGTGATCAATTGTTCAAGGACAAGATCTAGCCAACATTTTCTTTTTACTTACTTTCTTAAAGCAACCAGAGCACTACATTATTAGTACAGGAACTCTAATTTTAAAAAGCTAGAAAAATGAATTTGAATATCTTAATCATAAAGATATAAAATTTTAAAAATTAAAATATTATAATTATTACTATGTTTTATTCAAACTAGTTAATCTACAGTGGTAAGAGTAAATTTATGAAAAAAAATTCCAAACTGAAACTGTTAGCATGACATTTTCTCCTGAATAATTTTTTTGATGGGGGGGTACCAGGAATTGAACTCAGGGGCACTCAGCCACTGAGCCATATTGTTGTAAGGGACAGAGGAGGCAGGGCATTGAAGATAGCAGGAAACAGTTTTATTTGGCTGCAGCCAGGTAGAGAGGGTACAATTTTTGTTGTAATCAATTAATAGTTTCAGAACTTTATACCCAGCGTGTAAAGGGAAGGCCTCCAGAAGCTCACATTCTGCAGAAGTTCACACAAAAGCAGCTTTTTCTTTCACTGTTTTTGGGCAAGTTAACCCTTCAAGGACAGCACCTAAGAAGGGTTGAGCTTCTACTCTCCACCCCTCCCCCCAGCTGTTACCATGGAGCCCAGTTGGTAACTTCTCTTATCTTAGAACTATAGACATCTCTTTGAAGCTCCAACTTAAGGCCAGAGGCCTTATTAAAGGATTTGTCTTTTGTTTTGTTTTGTTTGTTTTTGTTTTTGTTTTAATCACATTTTGCATTTGCAAACACACTTCTACAAACTACTATACTGGATAAATGTTTGTGAAAAACTGGTAAAGGGGCATTCAGCACCTGCAGTACTGATTTCTTCCAGGCCAATGGCCAAGTAAAATAGAGCAACAGGAAAATAGAAAGTTTAACTACATTGAACTCTTTTGTAGAGACTCTTGTGCTGATAGTACTAAGATTAATTATGGTGAAGCTTTCTGGAGAAGCTTAATTAAGATTTTCTGTGGAGGAGGGGGTGCCATTACAATATCCCTAGCTTATTTTGTATTTTATTTAGGGACAGGGTCTCACTGAGTTACTTAGCACCTTGCTTTTTCTAAAGCTGGCTTTGAACTGACAATCCTCCTGCCTCAGCCTCCTGATATCCTGGGATTGCAGGCATACACCATCATGCCTGGCTCCTGAATGGATTTTTTAAATAAGTATTTTCTCATCTCTAGGTCTTCCCCTTCCTCACTTCAACTTTGATTTCTGCCCCTAAATAAAACACGTTAGTAGCAAACATTAGAGTATATTTTAATAGGCTTAACAATTTTTTTTGTTTTAAATATGATTTATTCAAATGTGTATATGCATATAAAGTAAATTTGTTTGAGTATTGATGCAGTGTGTTTGAAGGAGCTTGACACATCACAAGTAAAAAAATTATTTTGTTCTTAAATCTCTGTATGAACAAAACCATTATTTATTATTCCATGTCTGTTTGTATGTGTGTGTGTGTATATGTATATATATATATATATAATCTATATTTTCACCACTCTAGTCATGTAGGAGTAAAGATATGTAGGTCTTCTCCAGTTTATTATGTTAATTTTCAAAGTTCTAGGAGCCAACAGAAAAGTGTGAACAGTTTAACAGCTTTCTATTTTTCTATAGTGGAGATCTGGATAATCAAGATTCCCAAGCCCTCGGGTAATCTGTAATTGGTTTGGAATCAAACCTTATTGAACTGTGCTCTCTGCTCCTGCCATCCTCTTTCATAAACATGGCTGAACAAAGTAATAAAATCTTTTTCTTTCACTATAGGCGAAGGTGGCAGGGACATGTTTCTTAACCCCTATATTCAGGCATTTTGTATTAATCTAAGTAAATATTAGAAACAGTATTCCTCCTGTGTAAGTGTTCATAAAAAGCATAAAATCATACTTAAGTACATGGTTTTGAAGCCAGACAAAGGGTGCAACTGCTTGGTTTTTCATACTAATAAGAATAACCCAGTGCTAGTCTTTAGGCTGAGTCATAGTAATTCCTAGCTATGCTAGAGTTTCTACACTGTGAGTAATTTAGTCATTCAGGGAGTTACATGTCTGAATAATAATATATTCATAAATGTTATGTTCTACAGTTTAATAAGATTATGAAAATATTTTTTAAATATTAAGCAGGCAAAAGGAACACAGAAAATAACAATCTTGTTGTCTTAATCCAGCAGAGTCTAGAAGAGATTCCATTTGAACTACATGCTATAAGATGAGCATTATTTGCCAAGAAAACATGACAAGGGTTGGGGTGTGGGAATCAAAAGAGGAAGTACAGAAAGGCACAATATTTAAAAGAGGTATGGTGTCCTGGGACAATAGTTAGAAATTCAGTAGAACCCAGTGAAGTGTAAAGAGAGTGGTTAGCTAAAAGGGTGGATCATGGTTTAATTTGTATCTGGTATGCAATTCTGATTGTTGTGTCTTTGCTTACACACTTTAATGGAATCACATTATCCTGCAGAAAAATGGAACAATGAACTAATTCCAATGCTTGATTTATTGAATGCTTGCTTTGTGTTGTTTATATGTTTTAATTAACTTAAGACTTCCACAACTTTTTGTTTTCTCCACTGTGAAGACTAGAAAACTGAAGAATGAGCTATAATTCATAGGTACAGAATAACTTAAACCTTATCATGGAGATAAATGCATTTAATAAAAAAGAAAACAAAGGGAGAATCGTTGCTGGAAATAGAAACAAAAGGAAGAAAAGCAGGTGATTGCTGGTATAATTTGAAAACCTTTAAGGTTTAATGTGCTTTATTTTCTAGGAGCAAAATATCATAATAATTAAATGCAATTACATAAATAATCATTTTATAAAGCCCAGGTCAGACTGAGAAAATTTTCAATTAACACTGAAAGTATTTATAATCCAGCATCTAATCAGTTCAATATTTGCTGCATTTATTCACAAATAGTGAATAAAGTGAGCATATGGGACACTTGGCCAGACTTCACAAATTATAATAGTATACACAGGATACATTACTTGTTATTTCATGATTGGTTAAGTTCAAAATATTTTTCATTAATTAATCAATACTATGTAAATTATGTTTTAAATCAATAAAAAATTTAGGCAGATAAAAAGAACCGTGCTATTGGCCTAATCTTATTTTAATAGTATATTTATATTACTTATATGTAGATATAGAACACCTACCTACAAAGGCAGCAGATAATGCTGATCAAATGGAGGGTAAAGACAGTGATAAGTGCTTAAAAATAAATTTAAAATATTACATAACACAATATAACACAATTTGATAAATAGAAGTACAAAGTTTTGAACATTGCAAAAATTATCAAGAGAAATCTGACATTTGAAATAATCAAAATATTGATAAGTGTCTACACACTAAATATCTGTGACAGTAAAGATGGAGTTTGGCATAGTGAAGAATAACATGAACTCTACAGTCATAAAGAATTGTGTTAGAATTCTTGTGTTTGAGTCACTATTTCATAATATTCTGGGCTTCTATATTTTGTGTGTGTGTGTGGGTGGTGCTTGGGTTTGAACCCAAGGCCTAGTGTGTGCAAGGTAAGCACTCTACCAACTGAGCTATATCCCCAACCCCTGGGCTTCTATTTTTTAATTAATCAACCTGGAAAATAATATTTAGCTGGCATAGTTTTGCAGCTTAACAGTAACAAATACAAAGGTTCTAGGACTGTACTTTTACTCATGTCAGGAACAAATAAGTATTAATTTCCTTCTTGATATAAAATTATAAGAACTGTGATCACACCAATATTGTAAATATTAAAATAAATACCAGAAACAGTGGTCTTTGTTATGACTAGTACACTCAGATAATACCCATAAGGAAAGTTAAGATGCACAGGGCATACTATGGGAGGTACAGAAGAGTAAAAGTAGAAAATTAGGATTTCTAAAAATTAGGTATAAAAAAGGTGGGTAGAGTTGGGAAATTATTCATTTGAAAAAGTGAAAAATTGATAAAAATGTGATATATGTTAACATTCCAGAGCTCCAAGAGCTAAGGGGCCAATACCATCTCAAGTGTCCTGGGTATAGATTCTGGGAAGTACTAAGAAATAATAAAAGTGCAATGGACCCTCTACAAAATGCATACCCTTAGCAGAGAGTACTCAGATGTCAGCTAAAAAGTTGTCCTTCAGGTTGACATGAGAAGGAACTCAGGATAGATGAATTTGAAGATTTTCCACTTATAAAATTTAATCTTTCTAACAAAAGCTAATATAGCTTATCATTTAAAAATGTGAATTAATTTTTTATTTTATTGCTCACAGATAATTAGGTTTTAAAACAACTGAAGAAGCTCTTGACTTTGTATCTGGCTGCATAGTTTGTGTTCAGTGTCACTGTTTTTTTGTTTGTTTGTTTGTCTGTTTTGTTTTTTCACTCTAAATTCAGAAAGCTTTCTAATATAATGCTTCGGATCTTCCAGATGCGTTTTTCATTTTTCAGATTTGTTGTAATGACCCTGGCAGAATACTTTTGCTCTAACTGGAAAGACTCCTCCAGAGAAGACAGAGGGCAGCTGCACCATGGAACCAGCCAATAAATCCGAAATATCTCCAAACAGCTTCTTGCTGATGGGCATCCCAGGGCTAGAGCACTTGCACGTCTGGATTGGGATTCCCTTCTGCTCCATGTATGTGGTGGCTGTGGTGGGGAACGTGACCATCCTGGCTGTGGTGAGGGCAGAGCGAAGTCTCCACGAGCCCATGTTCCTGTTCCTGTGCATGCTCTCAGTGACTGACCTGGTGCTGTCCACGTCCACGCTGCCGCGCATGCTCTGTCTCTTCTGGCTGGGAGCCCACCACATTGCCTTTGATGCTTGCCTGGCTCAAATGTTCTTCATCCACAGCTTTACCGCCATGGAATCAGGCTTCTTCTTGGCCATGGCCATTGACCGGTACGTGGCCATCTGTGAACCACTGCGTCATGCTATGGTTCTCACCCACAGTCGCATTGCCCAAATGGGAGCTGCTGTGCTGGTGAGGGGAGTAGCCTTCTTTTCCCCACACCCCATCCTGCTCAAGCAGCTCCCCTACTGCAGGACTCGAATCATCGCACACACCTACTGCGAGTTCATGGCTGTGGTGAAGCTGGCGTGTGTGGACACAGGAGCCACCAAGCGTTACAGCCTCAGTGTGGCTTCTGTGATCGGCTCCTGTGATGGCTTTTTCATTGTCTTCTCTTATGTTCTAATCCTCCGTGCAGTCTTTCGTCTTCCCTCCAGAGAAGCCCGTCTGAAAGCTCTGGGCACATGTGGCTCCCATGTCTGTGTCATCCTTGTTTTTTATTCCACGGCTGTTTTTACTTTCTTGACTCACCGCTTTGGACACAATGTGCCCCCCCAAATTCACATCTTCATTGCAAATATGTATCTTCTCGTACCCCCCTTTTTGAACCCCATTGTTTATGGTGTTAGGACGAAGAAAATTCGGGAGCGTGTTCTTAGTTCTCTAAGGGCAAAAGTTGTCTGATCATACTGTAATTGCAGTGGTAGTTAGGAAGAGAAGAGGGTAAATAATTGATACCTTTCTCATACCTTACTGATGGGCATCCCAGGGCTAGAGCACATGAACATCTGGATTGGAATTCCCTATATTTAAGGGTTTGTTTGTTTGTTTTTCTTTTTCTTTTTTTCCTCCAAGGAAATTAGACATGTTATTTATACTGGAAGAATAAGTACATAAGAAATTCCCCAATCCTAATGAAACAATGGGCATAATATTTTTTGTGTGGACCTGAGTTTTAGGAACCTAATTGAAATTGGATGAGTAGTAGATGAGTCTTCATCTGTTCCTTGTAGTTTCTAACCTGTAGTATAATTGGGATAATAGCCGACTTTCAAACAAGGAGGATTCAAAAAGGACAGAAAGTCATGAAAATGTCAAAAACTTCCCCATGAGGAATCAATTGAAAAAAAGTTAAGATCACTGTCAATATTTCACAGAAGTGGCAACATAACTGATTTTTAGTGTTCCTGAATGCATTAAACAATTTTGTATATATTCAAGGGATTGATGGAAAGGACAAGTTTGGTTAACATGAAATGGTTCAGCATTACAATAATCAAGTCAGCAAACATTTAGAACCTCTTTTGCTTTCAGACTGCGAACATTCTTTCCACCAATAGCAACTTGTGCCTGATGTTAGTTACTTGAGTTCACATGTGACCTCTTTAGACCTTTATTACAGAATCTCTTAAAAGAAAACCAGCTTCATGCTTGACAATACCTATTTGTAACTATGCCCAGAGCTGACTTCAGGTCACTGAGTGTGATTCATGTGTGCAGCTCTTTTTAACTTTTACATGTTAATACTTTTATTGAAGGAAAATGTCTATGATTTTTAAATAACTGATTTTATATTTGGGGATAATCATGCCACAAGAAATATTGAAATTATTTAAAAGAATATAAATATTTTTACAAAATTATTTAAGCATTTACTCCTTAAGAAGTGTGATTCCTTTCTTCATTTCTTGGCTCATTCCAGAGGCACTCAATAAATGCATGTTGAATTTCATTGAACTGATCTTATGTTTACAGTAATTTGCTATTTGAAGAGTATTATTTGCATCTTTCTTTTCTCACCATTTGCTTTCTATTCAATCCAGGAGGTTCCTAAAGGTAGTGGTATGGGCTTCTTTCTATCTCCTTTTCCCAGAGGCTCTCTTACATACTATTGTTTCAGATTTTATTTCCTATGAGAATCACTTCAGTAATTTCCACTGAAGCTTTTACAGTATTAGATTTTACTTACTATATCTATCTCATCCTCTATATTGGGATTACGTTATATTTCCAATATACATAGAGAGCGGAAAACCTTGGTTATGTCAGATTCATGCAAAATCCAGTATAACCAAACAGAGTTTTAAGAAATTCTTTTTTAAAAATGTCTCTCTTTCTGTTCTTGCATATACCTTTCACATTTTATCCTCTCTATGAATACTCACACCTGTTTTCAAGCAACATATCTCTTCACATGTTTATGTCTATGCTAAAATTCTCCTCTCTACCCTTTTTTTCTTTCCTGTGAAGAATTAATTGTTCTTCCAGATACAATTCCTGTTTAAACTCTTCCATTTTTACTGAAATATTAATGTCTTCAAGTTGTATTGACAAAAACTCTATCAGTATTGTAAAACAACAACAAAAAAAATTGTTGTAATTAACTCTTCATGTGCTTCTTTGCCAGTTTGGGTTTTAGCACAGTTAAGAGGTTAAATGAACGGTCTCTGAAGACAAAGTGCCGAAGTTCTTCATTCATCTATCTGTGTACACTCACACAAGTTGTTGAAATGTTCTAGGACATACTGTCACAATCAATAAAATTGGGATCAAGAAATTTCATTCTCCATGGACTTTTAAGGATTAAATGAGTGAAAGCATATAAGACACTGATAATAGTAAGTGCTTGAAATTTTACTGAAAAAGCTGAAATGATGGATTATTATTACAAATATACTTGTGTATACAAATTATATACCAAATATTGACATACGCTCTAAAGCATATATCACACTTATACATTTAATAATATATGATTTAGACTTAGTGTATATATAT